ATACTTTCTAGTTTTTTCAGTTTCTAAGTAAATTTAAATACATGAAATTTACATTATTCCCTGTATTTATAGGCAAAATTTTATCACGGAGTGAATAAATGAGGTGGTTGGTAGGGGTATGCATGCGTGATATGTGTCACTCATGAGGTGGTTGCAGTGTAGGTGCAAGCTAGGTGGCGGCCTTGGGGAAGGCATCTCAGCATGCATGTAATACGATTGGACATGTAAGGAGGCGCCATTTGACTTGGAGAATGAGTACAAAATTGAAAGGTGTTGTCATCCCAGTTGGAGAATTAGAGGTGGCATGGGTTGCAGTTTAGGTGCAGGCTAGGTGGCAGCCTTGGGGAAGGTACCTCTGCATGCATGTAATACGATTGGACATGTAGGGAGGCGCCATTTGACTTGGCGAATGAGTACAAAATTCAAAGGTGTCGCCATCCTAGTTGGAGAATTAGAGGTGGTATGGGTTGCAGTTTAGGTGCAGGCTAGGTGGCAGCCTTGGGGAAGGTACCTCTGCATGCATGTAATACAATTGGACATGTTGGGAGGCACCATTTGACTTGGCAAATGAGTACAAAATTGAAAGGTGTCTCCATCCCAGTTGGAGAATTAGAGGTGGCATGGGTTGCAGTGTAGGTGCAAGCTAGGTGACAGCCTTGGGGAAGGCATCTCTGCATGCATGTAATACAATTGGACATGTAGGGAGGCGCCATTTGACTTGGAGAATGAGTACAAAATTGAAAGGTGTCGCCATCCCAATTAGCAAATTAGAGGTGGCATGGGTTACAGTGTAGGTGAAGGCTAGGTGACAGCCTTGGATAAGGCATCTCTGCATGCATGTAATACGATTGGACATGTAGGGAGGCGCCATTTGAATTGGCGAATGAGTATAAAATTTAAAGGTGTCACCATCCCAGTTGGCGAATTAGAGGTGGCATAGGTTGCAGTGTAGGTGCGGGCTAGGTGACAGCCTTGGGGAAGGCATCTCTGCATGCATGTAATACGATTAAACATGTAGGGAGGCGAATTAGAGGTTGCTTACTGTTGTTTTATTCAAATTCAGTACAACCTATTTAATCCTACATTTATCAAAACACTTCTACACTCAACCACTCAAACACTCGAACATTCAAAAATTCAAACAATCAACTCAAAGACTCAAACACTCAAACACTTAAACCTTCAAACACTCAAGTCTTCAAACCTTCAAACATTCAAACACAATGGTCTTTGCACCACAATATGTGATCATTTCATATTTCAACGGTGAGACATACATTTATCCCACCTCTGGGTTTTTGTTTAGAGACAATGAGAACATCTGGTTTTGTTTAAACGGGAAAGCCAATTTCTTATATTTCAAAAAATGATTGGAGGTCAAACTTGGACGAGGTCCCGTGACACAAATATTTTATCAAAATCCATTTTTTTATGACAACCAAATAATATTTTATAAGGTTGAGATTCAAGATGATGAGGACCTTCAGAATATGTTTACCAGTCATGAGTATTATGGGTACGACTCTATTGAGTTGTACATTGTGTTGCGAGAGCCTCAGCTATCACAAGTGGTTGATCCTCTCGAGGACGAACAAGCAGAAGTAGATGTCGTTGACGACGAAGAAGAAGATGACGAGTAAGAGTTTGACGACATGGTCAACGATGATTTTGAAGACGATGGGATACCTGGTATACCTCCAAATGAGATATACACACCACCTCCACACATGATAAACTTTAACATGGGCGGAGATGAACCGTCATCTGATTTATTTTTCAATCCGTATATGCATTCGGATGAAAACTTAAAAGAGAGACAAATTTTGTAATATAGAAGATTGTATCTGAGCCATAAAAAAGTTTCACATGCTAAACTCGCTCGATTTTAAGGTAGATCGTGTAAATCCAAAAAGGTACAAGCTCAGGTGTGTCCACCCAGATTGTATGTTCAAGCTCACTACATCATACAGATTAAGAGGTGATTGTTGGGTCATAGGTTCTACGTCCACCCCCACGTGCGTCAATTCTACTCAATCACAGGATCATAAGAAACTAAATTATGATCTCATATGTCAAGAAACCCTACCTCTCGTCAGCAATGATCCATCATTGAAGGTGAAAGCCATAACCTCTCACATCACTACGGTATATAACTATACTCCATCATATTGAAAGACATGGTTAGCAAAGACCAAGGCGATTGAAAAGGTATGTGGAAACTGGGAGGAGTCATACAAAGAACTTCCCCGCTACCTGCATGCACTTCAGACTTATTCTTCGGGTACTATTTATATTATGGAAACACTGCCAGCGTACGCCCCAGATGGTACTCATGTCACCAAAAATGGAATATTCAGTCGAGTGTTCTGGGATTTTCAACCTTGCATCACAGGGTTTGTGTCATGCAAACCTATTATTCAAATTGATGGGACTTGGTTGTATGGGAAATACAAAGGCACGCTACTGATGGCAGTTGCACAAGATGGAAACAACAACATTTTCCCAATTGCCTTTGCTCTAGTCGAGGGAGAGACTGGTGGTGCTTGGAGTTTCTTTCTCAAGAATCTCCGAACACACGTGTCTCCTCAACCAGATCTTTGTTTGATCTCCGATAGACATGCATCTATTGAGAGTGCATACAACAATCCTGCAAACGGTTGGCATGACCCTCCTTTTACGCATGTCTATTGCATTAGAAGTATCGTGTAAAATTTCACGAGGGAGATCAAAGACAAGGCTCTTATGAAAGCGGTTATGAATACGGGGTATGCATTAACACAACCTACGTTCAAACATTATCACAACGAGATCAGATTGTCAAATCCGAATGCAGGTAAGTGGATTGATAATATTCCAGTGGAAAAATAGACTAGGTCATACGACAATGGACAACGATGGGGCCACATGACAACAAATCTTATTGAATCCATGAATGGTGTATTTAAAGGCATACTAAACCTCCCAGTAACTGCTTTGGTTAAATCAACATATTTTAGGATGGCTTCGTTGTTTGCCAAAAGAGGTGAAATGTGGAATGTTGTCTTGCAATCGGGACAACTATGGAGTGAAACCTGCATAAAGTATATTAAGGCAGAAAGTGCCAAAGCCAGCACATATCTGGTTATACGGTTCGACCGACACAGCCACAACTTCATTGTCAAAGAGACAATCGACCATAATGAGGGGCTTCCAAGACAAGAGTATAGGGTTATACTACTATCCCGTTGGTGCGATTGTGAAAAGTTTCAAACCTTTCATATACCTTACTCTCATGTCATTGAGGCATGTGTGTATACTCATCAAGACGCATTACAACTTCTATCTCTCATTTACAAGGTTTGAAACCTTGCTTAACGTATACAACAACAACTTCCCATTGGTAGTGAAACCTGATTATTGGCCTGCATACGACGGTGAAATAGTATGGCACAACGACCAAATGCGAAGGAATAAAATGGATTGTCCCAAAAGCAAGCGTATCACAACTAAAATGGACTCCATTGACAAGCTAGAAAGAAAGTGTGGTTTATGTCGTTAGGTCAGACACAATCGCAAAAATTGTCTGACTCGGGCTACTAGCTCAACAACATAAAAATTGTATGCAAACCATCTTTATTTTTTGAAGTTCTAAACATTACGGTTTTTCATTAAGAGCATTTGTCACAACAAACCTTACGCAAATAACAAATAAAAACACGATAAAACGTCTAAGAAATTACAACCGTCAAAACAATTTCATCTGACCCATGCATCATCAACATTACGTCTTTATCTGTTTTGACTTCCTCCAACCAAAAATTAGGTCTTCCTGTTGCAAGTGAGGTGGTTGTTCTTCTTCGCTGGGTCCTTCTAATTTGTTCCCCATCCTCGATGTCTCCCTCTAGCCATTGCATTAACTCTCTCTCCAGACGCTCCATGGAGTGAATGTGTCAAAATTTCATTTTCATAGGAGGTTTGGTGACCGAGAAAATAACGTAACCATCTCTGGTGAAAATCATGGGAGATGTCATGACGCAAATAACAGACAAAAAAATAAGAAGACAGTGCGAGAAAGTGTGAAGAATGACGGAGAAACGGGGGATTTATTTATAGAAAATAACATTTTTCCCTAGGCTCCAAGTGAGACGGTGTCTCCTCTCACATTTAAAGTGCATGCGCCATCTCACTTGGCTAAAAGTGAGAGCATGCGTCAAGTGAGATGGAGCGTAGGGCAAACGGACAAGTGTAGGCGCCAACTGGGTTGGCTCCTCCTTTATAGAGTTTTCTGAAACATTGTTATTTGCGTAATTTTCTCCGAAACATGGTTATTTGCGGAAAAAATTTCAAAACCTGATTATTACAAAAAAAATCTGAAATTCACTGATAGTAATAAGAAAAGAGAACTGAATTGTGAGAGTTCAAATGAGACTATCGTGTATCATTGATAATTAGTGAATTTCTTTTCCTTTAGATTGCACTCCTTCATACGCACGTGACATTGCACCGAACTACATTATCAATTTCTTAGCTTTTATTTATTATATGTTTAATTATTCATCACTTAATTTAGATAATATTGTACCGCACATTGTTTAACATATTTTGTGTGGCATCTTGTTGAAACTAAATTTCAATTTTAATTTTTAGAAATTTTCAAACTCAAAATCAAAACAAACTTTTATTTTAAAAGCTTTAAATTTAGAAAGCCACCTCGAATAATATTTTTTCTTTGTATATCAATAAGCCTAAGATCCTAAAATCTAAACAAAAAAGGATCATAATCACTTATTTTACACGAAATTATATTATTATTTTTAAAAAGGAAAATATCATTGTTTGGGTACATTATATTGATTGCATATTTTGCATTCACCATTGTTGATATCGTTATTTTCTATGATTCCCTACGGCGTTAATGGATTTATCTCTATAGTAAAATAGTATATTATTTGTGCCAGCATTAATCAATGAGAAATGATAAATTGATGCAAAAAGTTGATGATAAATAGAAACATGTAGAGATGATTCTACATATATTCCTTATTAGTACTTTCTTAGTATCTAATGCTGCAGAATCAAACAACATTGCTATTTATTGGGGTCAAAACAACAATGAAGGTACCTTATCACAAACATGTGCAACAGAAAATTACTCCTACGTGATCATTGCTTTTCTGAACAAATTTGGGAATGGAACAACTCCTGAAATCAACTTAGCAGATCACTGTGACCCTTCTTCCAATGACTGTACCATGTTAAGCACAGACATCAAGAATTGTCAAGCGAAAGGAATCAAAGTCTTGCTTTCAATTGGAGGAGCAGATGGAGAGTATGGTTTGGTTTCTAGTGAGGATGCTAAAAATGTTTCTGGTTACTTGTGGAACAAGTTTCTCGGTGGAAACTCGTCTTTGCGTCCGTTTGGTGACGCTGTATTAGATGGGATTGATTTTGATATAGAGAAAAGGTTGAAAGGAAAACAACAACATTGGGATGAATTAGCGATTTTCCTCAAGTCATATAAAAATTCAACGCAAAATGTTTACTTAAGTGCTGCACCTCAATGTCCATTTTCTGATGGAGAACTAGGTGCGGCACTTGACACGGGCATTTTTGATTATGTTTGGCTACAGTTTTACAATAATCCTGAATGTGAATATAGCCAAAATGATGTTAATCAGTTGTTGGATTCGTGGAAGCGATGGACGGAATCGTTGACTGTTGGAAAACTGTTCTTGGGATTGCCTGCTTCTCGTGCAGCTGCAGATAATGGCTATATACCTGCTGCTTTGCTGTGTGAGAGTGTTCTTCCCCTCGTAGCAATGTCGCGTAACTATGGTGGTGTAATGTTGTGGGCTACATACTATGATAAACAATGTGGATACAGTAGCTACATTAGAAGTTCTCTATGCACTCCTCAATGTAGAGGAAATGATTGTCGTCGTAAAGGTTCTTTTTATTGACAAAACTTAGGTACAATTATGGAAACTCTTTCTACTATTGTGAAAATAGTAGAAATAGTTTTGGAAAAAAAAAATGCATCAAAGTTTTGCCATAGTAGCAAATTTATATATGTTACAACTTTGGAATGGAATTTATTTTGTAATTTCTTGTATATGTAAGTAAATAATTTGTGATATTGTTCTATCAGAAAACAAGTGGTGGGTATGGATTATCATTGGGGTTGGAGTTGCACTTGCAATTTCTCTTATCTTCTGCTTAGGCTGCACGTTAAGGAAGAAAAAGAAAACACAAGGTAATTTCTAACATAATAAATTTTAAATGGTGAGTTATTATTTTTGACACAATGTATTTTATATTTTCATGTCAAATAATCAGTGGATGGAAAAATGAACCAAAAGAAGGTGTTACATGAAATTGAAAGCGATGTTGTGCTTTCTGACAAGGCAAGAAGTGTTGAAATAGAGGATGGAAAGACTCTAAGTAACTTGGTTAAGGAATAAGTACTAGTGGAATTTTTTGTTATTAAACTCACTTTTGTAGTTTGTAGATGACAATACTGTGAACTAAGATTCATCTGGCATAAGCACCCCTAAGCGAGAACGGTCATGCACTACAAGAAATATCATCTTCAGCCATGTGATTTTGCCACGTGATTTTCATGTGGTTAAAAAAAGGCAGTTGCGACGTGAAAATCACGTGACAACATGTTTTATTAATAAAATAAAGAAGTCTGATGGTTGTCTGACTTTTTTTATAAAAAAAAATATGTTGCGACGTGGGATTCACGTCTCTACTAAAAATACAATAAAAAATAATTTAATTGGTCTAACGTTCAGATGGTTGTCATTTTGAAATTTTTAAAAAGTAAGTTGCGACGTGTTATTCACGTCGCAACATTTAAGAGGGAAAAATCAAATCATTACAGACTGGCGTGTTCAGGCTTTGAAGGCATGTGAAGAAAGAGAATATGACTTTTGGGATGATTGCGACGTGAAAATCACGTGGCAACATTGCGGCGTGATTTTCACGTCGCTAAGTGCTTTATATATTTGTTTCAATCACGCTCCACAACAGTATTGTTATGTAATAACATAAAAACTGTTCTTTTTCAACCCTCTTCTCCCCATTCCATCCCTCCATTAATCATTTTCTTCTTCATAAAATCTCTTCTTCTCCAATATAAAATCTCTTCAATCTCCATTAATTCTTGTTTTAAGGTAAATTAAATTCAATTTTGTCTCTATTTTGTTAACAAGTTTTTATTTATTGTATTATGGGATTGTAATTTTTTTTAATTTTTCTTTGAATAGAAGAAGATTGATAGAAGTAGATTGCAAAAAGGTTGGACAAGAAGATCGAATGAGTTAGAAGATAAGAAGTATTTCTTGGATTATTTTTTTTTAATTTAGTATATTTTCTGAATTTAGTTAAATTTTAGGTTGAATTTGGTTAAATTATAATATTGTAATTTTAATTGAATTTGATTGAATCTGATTTTATTTAATTTATAAAAATAGAATAAAAAATATTTAATTTGTTAGGAATAATAATATTAACCATTTTTATTATTTTATTTATTTTAAATTTAAAAATAAAAAAGATTATATCGTTCTTACTTTATATTTTATATCTTTATAATCATTTAAAATTTAAGTTGATTATATTCTTAGGGGTATATAATAAAAATTTAGTACTAAGTAAATTAATGTTACAAAATAAATAATAATAAATATAGTAATTAGTGAAAAACACAAATAAATAAATAAATTGTGATGAATACAATAGTTATAATTATCAATTTATGTAGTAACTTAGTCAATAATAAAAATAATAACAATAATCATTTTAATCATTTGCAATTTAAAAAACAAAAAGATTTTATCTTTATAAGTTTTTATTTATTAATTTATAAAGAAAGTAAAAAAAAAATTTAGGAGTTTATAAATTTTAATTGTTTAAATTAAATTTTTTTGTCTTAACTGAAAATATTTTTTTTTTGGATGAACTATTTTAATAGAATGTTGTTAAGTCTAATAAGTTAGAATTAGAAAAAGTATAATAGTCACTTGATGTTTTTTGAAATTTAAAAAAGTTTAAAAATTTTATGGGTTAGATTGTATAATATTTTTTCTTAATTAAAAAAACAATTTTTATTTTTATTTTTAATTTTTTGCAGTGCATATTAATTTAAATATTAATATTTTATGAAAGTAAATATTATTAAATTTATGTATAATAAATGAGTTAGGAATAATAATATTAATAATTTATATATTTAATTTATTTGAAAGTTAAAAATAAAAAAATATTTTATTTTTATGACTTTATATTTTATTGATTTGTAAAAAGCTTTCAATTTATTATTATAAATTATTAATAATATTTGATTAAAATTTCAAAAATCAAGTAATTGTAATTAATTTCAAAAAATTATGAGTGCTAAAGCCAAATATATTTAGTGAATATGATTTTTTTCTTTAACGAGCCGTTTTAAATGTCAATACATAATTGTAAATAAATGAAAATGAAGATAAATTTATACGTAATTGAAAATAAAGTAAAATTAATGTTAATATTTATTATTTATTAATAAAAAAATCCATGGACAAATGTGTCATATTTGACCGTTATTATATAGATAAAAAAGACCTAAAACAATTCAAATTGAAAAAGAATATCAATCATCAAATTTAAAAGAGAGTGAATCATTTTGTTTCTTTAATTTTCAAACGCGACAATTTTTACCCTTTAGTAATAAATGCATTAAAACTGTATTATATGTTAATAAAATATATTTATATATCATATATTTAGAATGTTAATAATAAATGTTTTATAATTAAAAAAATTATATAAAAACTGTATTATATGTTAATAAAAAACAGTTTTATAATTAAAAAATATTATATAAAAACTATATTATATGTCAATAAAAGATTAATATAGTATGTTAAAAACTATTATATGTCAATAAAATATTATATATAGTATGTTATAAAAACGGTTTATGTATTTAATTATTATATATTATATATATGTTAATAAAAACGATTTTATAATTAAAAATCGTTTTATAAAAACTATATTATATGTCAATAAATTTTTTTTTATTAATTATTATATATTTAATAAACTCTATTAATATATAGTATACTTAATAGTATATAATAAAAAATATTATATATTAAAAATAGTTAAAGTAAAAGCATATATTTATGTTTAATAGTATATGTTTAGGATTATTATTAAGTTGATTAATTAATATTTCTAATTAAAAAGGTTTTGATTATATAAATTTGCACTAAATGAAATATTATAGGTATTATCGTAGATGGATGTACGATAGACTGTATCCAAGAAGACGCGCACTTAAACCCAATTTTATATACGGAGTTAATGGTTTTATCACGTGGACGTTTGCTCAGGAACGTTGTCGAAGTGAAGGAGGAGTTAGGTGTCCTTGTCTTAAATATGGATGTAGATATATAATTAGTGACTCGGAGAAAATAACACGTCATTTGCATAGAAAATGTTTCATTGAAAATTATTGGGTTTGGACGTATAATTGTGAAACACTGCCGAATAATGTACCAGAGACTAGCAACACAGATGCTTCAAGTAGTCAACCGGCTATGCAGCCGCCTATGGAATTTGAGGAAAACTTTAATCTGATAGGTGACATGGTTGGTGATGCTTTTTGTGTTAACGTGACCTATGATCAACCAGAATATTTTGACGGGGAAGAGTTGCCGAATGAGGAAACGCAAAGATTTTATCCGTTGTTGAATGAGATGAATACGCCGTTGTTCGAGGGGTCGTCAGACTCAAAGCTATCAATATGTGTGAGATTATTGGCCGCCAAGTCAAATTGGAATGTTCCTGATCAGTGTTTGGAGCACTTCGCAAAAATGATGTTGGACTCAACTGCAACGAAAGACAACTTGCCTGCGAGTTTCTATGATGCAAAGAAGTTGGTGCCGAAGTTGGGTTTAAGAGTAAGAAAGATTGATTGTTGCATTAATGGTTGCATGTTGTTTTATGACAACAAGTTTGGTACTCAAGATGGATCGTCGGAGGAATGTAAGTTTTGTCAGAGTCCAAGATATAAAGTTCGCAATAGAGCCATTAATAGTAAGCAAAAACGTGTAGCAGTAAAGTCCATATTTTATCTTCCGATAATACCAAGGTTAAAAAGAATGTTTTCTTCAATGCACGGTGCAAGTCAAATGACATGGCATCATACAAACAAAACAAGCCCAGGCAATATGCGACACCCATCTGACGGCCATGCATGGAAGCACTTTGATGAGGTACATGCTGATTTTGCTGCGGAACCTAGAAATGTCAGGCTTGGATTATGCTCTGATGGTTTTGCTCCATATGTCCAAGCGTCTGGAAGTACGTATTCTTGTTGTCCAGTTATTGTAACCCCTTACAATCTCCCTCATGAGATGTGCATGACAAAACCATACATGTTTTTGACGTGCGTCATTCCAGGACCGTCGAGTCCAAAAACCGGAATTGATGTGTACTTACAACCTTTAATTGATGATTTGAAGAGGTTGTAGAATAATGGAGAATGGACTTATGATATATCCCGTAAACAAAACTTTTTTATGCGAGCTGCCTTGATGTGGACCATTAACGACTTTCCAGCATATGGCATGTTGTCTGGTTGGGGTACGCATGGCAGAATGGGTTGTCTGCGTTGCATGGAATGCACTAAGGCGTTTACATTGGAAAAAGGGGGGGAAAATCTCGTGGTTTGACTGTCACCGCATATTCCTACCATCAAATCGTCCCTTTAGAAAAAACAAGATAAATTTCAAAAAGGACGAACGGGTAACAGATCAGCCTCTGCCTCGATTGTCACCAGTTGATATATGGAACCAAGTTTATGAACTTCCAAAGTTTACAGATACTGGCAAAGCATGTAAAATTGAAGGATATGGGGTCACACATAATTGTACAAAAAGAAGTATATTTTGGGACCTCCCGTATTGGAAAGATAATTTGTTGCGCCATAATCTTGATGTTATGCATATTGAGAAGAATTTTTTTGATAACGTATTTAACACAGTGATGGATGTTAAAGACAGAACAAAAGATAATATGAAGGCTAGACAAGACATGGAAATTTGGTGTAATCGTAAAGAGTTGGAATTGAAGCCTCAACCAAATGGAAAATTATTTAAACCCAAAGCTTGTTTCAGTCTGACCCCCCAAGAAGCTAAAGCGGTTTGTGGATGGCTAAAAGGTTTGAGAATGCCCGACAGGTATTCTTCAAATTTAGCAAGGTGTGTTGATGCTAACACTGGGAAGTTGCATGGTATGAAAAGTCATGATTGCCATGTTTTTATGGAACAATTGCTACCAATTGCGTTCGGTTCTCTACCCAAACATGTGCTTAATCCACTCATTGAAATTAGTCAATTTTTTAGAGATATTTGTGCGTCAGCTTTAAGAGTGGATGACATCATTAAGTTGGACCAAAATATTC